GAAAGACAACTTGTTTGAGGGTCTAAAGTGGACATGAACCCTTGGTCTGCATGCCTCCGGAAGCTCAAAGTGCAGCAAAAGCTGCAGGGTTTGACGTTGACTGACTCGACCGAGTCGCTGGGGTGTGGAAAAATGGTTGGGAATTGAAATGCGGACTAGCATGGCTTAGGTCATGTGCGCGGATTGTTTTAGAAGCGACCAGTTTGCAGATAGGATGAGGTGCTGCTATACTGTTGTTGTCACGACAAGGTGCTGACACGTCAGTCGTGATTCTCGCCTGGTGTCACGCTGGCGTGTTGACATGTCGGTTGGCTACCATGCGGGCTTGGCAACCTGCTAGGACCAACATCACGCCATGTCAACTTATCGGGGTGGCAACACCTGAGCGTGTCAGACAACGGCATGGTTCATATTGTTATGCTGATATTCTGGTGTGGTGTCACGACCACAAGTTGTCCGGCTGTCATGCTGACAAATTACAAATGTTGTCATACTACCGCCGGCAACACTAACATGCCAACACGTTGTCACACTGAGATGCGGAAGTCGGGTCATGCTGTCGTGCTAATTTGCTGGCAGGCTTGTAAGCCGGCTCCAGAAGAGGTTCCCTGGTTTGGTTTGTTGCGGTGGTGTCCTGCTTGCACATATGTGGGCACATGTGCTGCAATGACATATGTCGGGTTAATATGCTCGCGTGGCACATTGAAAAGGCTGATTTTTGAAGGCAGCGCTGCTCAACAACCACACACCATCCGTCAAACAGCTTACAAGCATGGCAACTTTATTGACGCATGCCATATGTTGCTAGTGTTCAATCAGCAAATTCATGCCCACTTCTTGGTAATACTTGCCAATCTACTGAAGCCAGAGCAATGTCTGAGGAGACCAAAAAGGCTGGTGGTACACTATGAAAGCTCCTTCCTTTGCACCGGCACGGATCGGAATGACTCAAGCTAGTGGTGATGGCAAGATCACTTTCCTATTCTACCGGCATAGTCATCACGTGCCTTGGAACAGACGGGGTTCTGCAAATTACTCGTCGTTGGCGGGATGCACTGGCCTCCAGGGCGGCTGTTGCTTCAAGACTTCTGTTTGAAACCGATTTTTGTCCCCAAAGTTCAGATCCGACTTCAGTTCAATCAAAGTCATCTACCGAAATTACAAGGAGATACGAGGAGAGGTTTATAACAACCTAATTGAATTCCTTTTCTCCTTATCCGGGATTTTGAGTCCCAGGACCACCGCGGCACCCGATTGCTCCATGTATGCAGCTACCAACTATTTTTACAACGAAAAAACTCTTGAAATTTTCCTTGGATTGGAACCAGAAGCGACCTTGGAAGATTCATCGAATTCCCTGGCCTTGGAGTGGACCCCACATCCTCGGTTTCCTCCGGCCTTTTCAACTGCCGCACCTGAGATCCATTTCTCTGGTCTGGCCGTGGCGCGACTGCACCGACGCCCTGTGGTGCATGCGCCGCAACCAAGCTTGGCCGCCTGCAAAGAGACCTGTGCCTCCATGGGCGCATCGTGCACGGGCTTTGAGTTCACTGCGAACCAATGTGTTTCTCGGATCTTCTCGGTTTGTTTCATTTTGTGGGGGGTGAAGATGTGAAGACTAAGCAGGCGGTTTGGAGCTTCTTTGGGATCCAGCATAAAGGAACTCTTCTGTTGCCCTCCGGCTTAGGACTGCTGGAAAAATCACCAACCTAGGGTTCATCCCACAGCGGCCACCGCCACTCGACGGCCCGGTGGCCATTCCTGACCAGGCTTTCTGGTCCACTCCCATCGCTGGGGCCCGAAAGACGACCGGCTCCGAGTGTGTGGCGGTCACGCCCGAGTACCCTGGCTACGCGGTGCTTCCGTCGTGTGTTTTCGGACATGTTGGACGGCACGTGTGGCGGTCAAGCTGTTTGGAGCCAAACCCAGTGGTCCAAGACACATGCCAACATACATGCCAACATCTTCAGAGATCCTGGCAAACATCTGCCCTAATGTGTTGCGTGTTTCTTTTTTCAAAGATAGTCCCTGCAAAGATGTTCCGAACTTTTCGATGCCCAGGGTTTCAGAGGTGTTTTGTTGGTCGGGAGACCGGACCAAATGCGTCGTTCCCCGCACGTGGTAAGACGTGGTCGTCGCGAGGCACGTCTATGGGGTGCGACACACGGGCAAGGGTGGCGACGGAAAGCGCTTCAGCCGCGGCCCAGGCATCAAGAAGTGTGGTGTGTGTGTTTCTATCTATACTTGGGAGGGCAAGTGAGAGTTCTTAGAATCGTTTAGAGTCTATCTGAACCATCCCAAGAAACCAAGAATCCTAAGTGGATCTCCAACCGAACGATGGGAGGCATTTCTTCCCCATGGCCAGGGCGGTCAGGAACATGGGAGGGGGCCTTTGATTTTTCGGGCCAAGGGGCTGTCGGGTAAGTTGACGGTCGATGAAGAAGAACCTCAAAAGGAGGTGTCTGACCATCCTCGGGACCATCCGAGGATGGGGTGTTGATCACTCAGTCAATACTGCACACCGTAGAGTCTGATGTGCTCTCCTTGGCGCTTCAAACGAACTCCCCCACAGGGCTTAGCAGGCTCGTTCCCCACAGAGCAGAGCAGAGGCTCCACACGATGCGAATGTAGAATGACGAGCTTGTGTCCAGCTGGTTGGTGGTGCAACATTTTTTCTGCTCACCTGCTGTGTCAATGTCCAAGAAGCTTGATCCACCGCGTCGTCGTTTCTGCATCTTCTACACCGCAAAGCGCGGTCTTCCGTGGTCCGCGACCAGGTGGCCTCCTCGGAACGGAGGTGCCCAATGGCGAAGCCAACTACCAGACCGGGCCATACGACGCTTGGTGCCAAGCCGGCGGTCGGGCCATGTTCCGCGGTTGGATGCGTTTCCACGGGATATTTCTGGTCAAAGATGAAGGAACAAGTTGAAATGATCGCGAGGCCTCCCATTTGCAGGAGACTTCAACCAACGAGGTCCGTAGGTTACGTACATAGATATGTTTATAGCTATTTTTACAGTTATATTACAATGTGTAACATACCGTATGACTTGGGAACCATGCCTGAATTACCCAGATATTGTGACTGTGCATCACACCACACACGAAAACAAGGTATATATGGCTGAACATCCACCACGATGCTTGTATTCCCGGGAGGTTAGGCCTTCTGTGGACCCTCATTCATGCTACCAAACCCTGTGGGTTGCTCCACAGATGACACCTTGTTACATTCTTGGTACATGGTGCACATTATATGGACTTGCATCACCTCAGGAAAAACACCTTTTAATACTTCATGACTTATGTGTGTTTTTCCAGTGGGCGTCTTTTGAATCAGGCCTCCCTAGCCCGTTCGGGCCAAATGCCACGCCCGGGGACCCGATCGAACGCGTCCAGGAGCTCCTCAAGGCCCAGAGTCGCTCTCATTGCCAAGCAGAGTGTAGTGAGAGAGGCTGGTGTCAGCGGCTCAGAGGGAGGACATGGGACCGCCCACCCCCCGAGCTCGCGACCCGCGTGCCAGTGCCTCGTGCTCCAGCTGGGACGCCCACCACCCCACGAGAGAAGTGCAGTGGGTGTGTTGTTTTTTTTCCCTTCAGGACGAAGAGAACTTGGTTGGTACCAGAAGGATGAATTGGATCCTCTCGTTGCCGAGGCGTCGGGTATGGCTACAAGTTCGGCCGGAGCATCGGCTCTGGGCCAAACTGGCAGCTGAATGCATGTCACCTGGAGCCTGAGCTGCATCCAGCAGGATAAAGTCGAGTTCCGCAACTGCGGATTCCGCAACTGTTTGGTCGGATTCCGCAACTGGGATTCCGCAACTAGGATTCCGAAACTAGGATTCTGCAGCTGGGATTCCGCAACTGGGATTCCGCAACTAGGATTCCGCAACTAGGATTCCGAAACTAGGGTTCCGCAACTGTCAGGATTCCGCAACTAGGTTTCTGCAACTGGGATTCCGCAACTGGCGTTCCGCAACTGGGATTCCGCAACATTGTGGATTCCCTCACTATGATTCCGCAACTTTGTGAATGATGAGGTGGTTGGCGTGATGCCAAGATCACACGATGGGGACAAGGGGGGATGGGGGGGTGGGGGGGGTTGGGTGGGGGTCTAATGACGTTGGTTTGGATGTGCTTCGAAGGTGATGTCACAGGCACACACGCTATTGCATGATGTGGAGATCACCAGTTGCAAGTTTCAGAAGGCAAGTTGCAGAATCTGACTTTCCAGTTTCAGAATACCAGTTGCAGAATCTGACTTTCCAGTTTCAGAATACAAGTTTCAGAATCCCAGTTTCAGAAGCCTAGTTTCAGAACCCCAGTTTCAGAATCCTAGTTTCAGAACACCAGTTTCAGAATACTAGTTTCAGAAGCTAAGTTTCAGAACCCTAGTTTCAGAACCCCAGTTTCAGAACCCTAGTTTCAGAATCCGACCGGTTAGTTTCCGAATCCGGCTCTAGCCGCATCCAGCATGCGCCAGCATGAGTGATTCTGGGATGAGCTCGGATGAGCTCCAATGCGAGAGTGCCTAGTGACCTAGTGAGATAGACGTCAGATGAACACATTCCCGCCTCACCTGTTTCGGGCAGAGAACCTGCAGGGGGTGAAGCAGAGATCACCGTGATTCCAACCGCTATGAAATTCATTTCAAGCCCAGTGGGATCGTGGTGAAACTGGAACTACGTGGACCTAGAGTCTGTGGGATGAAGTTCCAAGAGTCTCCTTTATGGGTTGTTCTGGTGAGGTCCGAGCTTCCCGTTGTCGGTCCCGAAAATGTCCCTTTGGTTGACTTGAACATGATTTTGCTTGTTTTTTCCCCACAAACACCTGCCTGCTCTCGCTCCCCTTTTGTGGCTCTGGAGCTTGCGCACCGAGCGCGCTCGCGCTCCTCGAATCGAGCTCATCATCTCCCCTTCCAACCGCACTTGACCATCGTCTCATGCGAGTGGTGCCCGAGCTAAGCTCGGGCCCTCCACTCAGGTGGATCGCTTGGCTGCTGGGGCCACGGGAATCACGGAATTCACCTCCTACAGCAAGGTGTGCAGGTTGTGCAGTTGTGCACCCGGACGCGCGGGTTGTGCACCGTTCCGTTCAGCCGCGGTTCTTAATGCAAACATCGATCGCAGGACGCGGATTTCAGCAGTTTCTTTTTATTATTTGTCAAGGTGTGTGCTCAAGAAAGGCCCACCACATGAATTAGCAGGACTTCCAGAAAAAAAGAATGGGTGGCTTCACCCGCCTTTTCCATGCTCTTTTTCCATCGCACCGCGGCACAACCCTGCCACGACCCCGGTGCTCGGTCTTCGCAGCTCCTGCACTGTGCCCGGCGGACGCACACCCGCGGCTCCAGGTTGGTGCATGGGTGGATCATGGCCTCGGTCGTCGTTGCGGCTTAGAGGCGAAGTTGATCTTGCAGGGACAAGGCTACTGCACCACAGGTGCGCCAAACCCGCGGTGCGCTGGCGCCGCGAGGGCTCTAAGAGGTGAAGAAAAAAGGGATCATTGAAGCGTGCGGACGGGGCGATTGGGAAGACGACCTCCTTGTAACCCGTGGAAAACCACAGTTTCTTTCATCCACTGGCATCCACTGGGTCACCCTAGAGTTGGATATTATGTTGGAACATAAACCTTATGGCCTTATGGAACGCCTTGAAGATCAGTAGTGCACAGGTGTGCGTTTCTGTGTGCGCCGGTGTGTGTCTCTTTACATAGACAAGACAGTGGGAAAGGGACAAAGACCGATAACAACGGGGGAAAGATGATGTTAAAAGGATTTGACAGGTACATCTTCAAACAACACCTTTGGCCAGAACATTCTCGTCTCACCCCTTTTTCTTTGAGACCGCACCTACTCATCCGAACACGACGTATGAGTCGTGTTCTACACGACCAGTTGGGTCATGACCAGAGGTTCCGGCGCCATTCCGGCCGTAGACGGTCCCCACGGGTCCGGAGGGTCCCGGTCAGCGGAGCAACAAGGCCAGATCTATTCCAGTCGAGCATGGGCCTTGAGCTCCAGCACCGAAGGTCGCAAAGGCGCATGCCGCGCACGGTCACGGGTCACGTCACGGGTCGTCTACGGGTCGGACGCGAACGGTCGCACTGGTCGGGTCCAGTGGGGAGGTACGGACTGATGGGCTGATGCGTTGGTTTGGGTCACCCCGGCCAGGATTTTCGGGGTCCGAACGATTCAAGGGCACCAAACAGAGGAGCAGGCAAGTAGCTTCATGGAGCTTTGGCCACGTGCGAGTGCGACTCTTGAGTGCGACTCTTGAGTGCGAGAACGTAACAGGTTTTGAGGAGCGCACACGAGTGAAAAGCACGCGAAGAGAAACAGAAAGGGTACACACGGGAGGTCTTTAACTACCAGAATCACTTGGACAGAATTGGCCGTTTCTTCATGCTTTCAGCATTTACCAATCAAGATTCGTAGTTGTAATCAATGGACAGTTTATGACTATGCAGACCCCAAAGTCCAGATGCTTCTCCTGAAAACCAGACCCTTGCGAGTGCTTCTGGAATCTTTTTGTTGGATTGCCAAGCATGCATGCAGACTTTCTCCAATATGAATATGAAGTTTATTCCATGTAAACAAGACCAAGGGGCTTCCAGCTTCATGCGATACTTGGGTTGTCTCAGACTCCGATGTGTTTTTTTGGCGTCCCGTGGGACGCCAAATACTCAAGGTCTCCAAGTTTGTTCATGTACTGCTATTGTCATACCCTCAATCATACCGAAATAGACATGCCGTATTCTTTTCCTTGCCGGATACAGTCGCACAGCCAGAGACTGCGGAGCCAACAAGGGACCAATTCAATCAGCAATGTGCCAAGAAGCGGTATTGTAAGGCCAAGAAGCGAAACTGAGACTAGACCTCGTTGCACATTTGATATGCTTTTATTGATGCGTTATATAACTAAAATAGTATCTTATTTCCCTAAAAAAGCTCTCGCCGACAAGTGGGTACCTTGTATCTCTGCCTTTTGGCTACCCTTTGCTATCGCCTGTGGACGTCGTTCGTTCTCACCTTGTAACATGATTGCCATAGCTTTGGTAGATTTAGCTGTTTTACCCTACCCACCCTGCGCCCGCGCAACATGACCAGGGGCGATCGGGCACGCGCAGGATCGCGCGTGCCGTGCGTGCATCCAGTCTGTTCGGTTTTTTTTCCAGGAGATTTTGGCCGTATCTCACTGATCATGGTTCGCCAGATTTCTCATATCGGTCTCAGGATTCACAGATAGGCGTTGTGCTTGACCTCGGCATCCCAATCAATGAACAGCTTATGGATTTACGCCAATTTACGCTCCATTCCGTCACTCCTCTCGATGAGTTGATTCCGCCCACCCCTCTGGCAATCCTGCGAGGCTTCAAGAGCGGAGAGTATTCCTCCTGGGTGCAGACCGCGTGGCAACGCTGCAAGGCGCTCAATGCGCAGACCAGCCATGTGCATCTTGGCCGTGAGAGCGAGGCATGTGTGGGGGGGGCATCGTCAGCTGAAGGGGCCTGGCATCCACAGACATTTAAGGATGTGATCATATGTGATCGCAAACGACTCTTTCAAACCTTCCAACATTTAGTTGATGACAAGTTCGGGTTCATGACCAGCTTGAAGACCATGCGAACCCCACGAAGCCGACACCGTGTCGGTGTCCGGACGAAGAGCGCCCACCCAAGGAGTGTCTGGACGGACGCCGGCTTCCGCTGCTACGTGGGAAGTTGCAAAGTGCAGGAGTTGACGAACGTGAGGCCACCGGATGTGCCGGGGGTCAACGGTGGAAAAAAGCCGCTGCGCTGCCCTCCATCGGACGAAGTGACCAAACACCGGAAGCCTCACATCCTCGGCTGGAGAGGGGGCAACTTTGTGGTGGCTTCATTCTCTAAGCAGTGATGCATATTAGGCTTTCTGAGGGTGCAGACATCAATGCAGTTGGAGCAAATCATTAGATCATAATTCATAATAGATCAACCGTTTGGATCTGGTATCCAGGTCTTCTTTAGATCGATGGGCGCCTTTTTTTTCCGTGGCAGGTCTTATGGGGAGGTGAGCCACGAGAAGCTGTCAACCTTGAAAGAGCAGAGCTTCTACAAGAAATTCCCGAAGCAAGTGCCCCTTGGTCGAGGGTTTGCGGATGTTTGCGGCTGGAATTCATGGTTCTTTCATGTTCTTTCTTTGGAACAAAGAAGTGGAGTCCACAGCATGGGAGAGATGGAGACCTCCTGAACACAAATGGCCTGACAAACCATTAGAAAATTGAGACGACGATGGACTGACAGCCATGGATTGGAGGTTTGCCTTTCAAAGGCAACTGATCAGATGATATGACACATCAACAACATCTGATGTTTCTGGCTTTTTGCCCTAGCAGCCTAGCGGGACGGCAAAGTTCATCCAGGACCTTGAACGTGCACAAGACCTACCATTTCAAGTTGCAGAATGGCTATTCCGTGGCTTTGACCGGATGGACTCACACTCGGAGCCGTGGCACCAAAGTTACCGAAGTCGTTCGGGGCGGGTTTTCGTTTGGCACGAACGAACGAAGCAGCGGGTCGGTCGTTGCACCAGCTGGTTCGATTTGTTTTCCGGCAGCTGATAGGGGTGGGAGGCCTGAAATTCTCCATGAGGTGAACAACTATGAACTGCAGGTGCACTGTGCTCTGGATCTTGGGGGACAGGACCTTGGACCACCGCATTTTTCTGGACTGGAGACCTTCTTCCAGTTCCCTTTTGGAGTTCCCAAGGCTTTGCCGTTTTGATCCAAGGGTATGGATGATGTCCACCATCAGACTTGTGTCAAGCAATGTGAAGTATTTCTACAGGAGTCACCCACTTTCACCACGACCATGCAGAAGCCTTTCACTTTAGGGAATTGGAAACGTCGACAGCTTTTCGGTGCGGGAGGTTTCAACCCCCCAAGCACCTTCCATGGATTTTTCAAGGGATTTCGCACTTTCCCATGGTCACGCCTTGGACCTGCATGAAAAAACTTCCGCTTCCGTGTGAGCCGCTCCGCGCTCCGCGGCCGATCCGGAGGCCGATCGGTCGACCCCTCCGGTCGTTGAGGTTCGGTTGAACGGGGCACCCCCGTACCCTTGGTGCCTGCCCCTGAAACCCGTGCTTCTTTGGACGTTTCTTCGAAGCCCAAAAAGGGTGGGACCGTGCCGTCTATAGGTCTCTGTTCCATCCTCCGGAGCGGAGTGGATTTTTCACTCCAAGGACCTATGCCCTGGGGTTCTTGCGCACCGCCACAGGGCCGGCCACGGCGCCTGGGAGGAAGTCCACGGGAGTCCACCGCGCTGACGTGAGACACCGCGGGGAGACGCGCGCGCGCGCGCGGTGTTTCGCCCCCGTGAAGCGTTCCCACTTTTCTGGATGATTCGCTGGTGGATTGGCAGACGGTCGCAGAGTAGATGGCAGCACAAGCCACTTGGGGATTGTCACTTTGGTTCTGACATGTTCTATATATAAGAACAACATAGAACAATATAAGAACAACAATGAACAAGACAGAACAGCCATCTTGGGGATTGTACGACACCAAAACCATCCCAAAAGTTGCCATTTGGGTGGGTTTAACGAGTCGATTTTGTTTTTTTGCGAAAGCAGCGGCTCCATCCGTTGCCGATGCTTTCGAAGGCACAACACCATTCGTTGGGTGCCAGCATTTCGTCAGATGATGTCAGATGAGATGTGAGGAGGCTCCTTGAAAACTGCCTGGTGGAGATGAGCTGAGGGTCTATCCAAGGTTTCGTCTCAGCGGGCTTCTCAACAGCAAGGAACAACGTGTGAGCTTGACCAAAAGGGTGACGGTCGTTGAGTTTCTGGTCAAGCGGCTGTTGAACAGTCTTTCACTTTGAGGAGACAATCTAACAATCTCATCTAAACTTCGTAGGTTTGTATTGATGTGTGCACAGAACCCATGGTGTCTCAAAATATCTCAAAATGATCCAGTATCTTCTCAATCTCCTATTGCCGCCTCTTCTTTGCTTTTTGGAATTCACCGCTAGCTAGATGAGTTTCACCCACTTTCAAACCTTTGTGCCGGGATGCCATCCACATCATATGGATCTTTCCTTCGCCACGGGGCCACGGATCTCTCGAGGACAGCTGCGGTCCACGGTCCACCCCGGATCGCACGGTGAACTCCACACTGAGGCGGTGGTCTCGGGCCTTGAGCCTGGCGCTTCCTATGTGCCTCGATGGGTTCGGAGGTGGACCGGGGGAGGCCTGCGTGGTGGGCGCCCGGTGCGAGGCGCCTGTGGTTGGGGAGGAGTGTCCGGTCGGATCCAACGAGGCGCCCCCCAGTCGACCTCGGCAAAGGGACGGGCGTCACTGACCAAGGGCTTTGCGCAGCCGAAGAGGCGACTTGGAAGAAGGCAGGGCACATGTATTGACAGGCTATCCTGACAGGCTATCCTGGGCATGTGTTGTGACATCTGTCCTGCTTTCAAGTCTGACATATGTTCTGACATTTCCTCTGGCATGTACATCTGACATGTGCGCGGGCATCAAATCTGGCATGTGTGCTGTGACATATGACGTGACTTCGACTCTGACATAGCACATCTTATATATATAATATCACAATGTATCTGTGTGTTCTGACATTTGTTCTGTCATGTCTTCGGGCGCGCGTTCTGAGTTCTGCGGTAAATCTGCCATTTGTTCTGATATGTGTTCTGACAATACACACACATAACAATAAACATATATATATATATAGATACTTATTTTGACAAAATTTTTACTTTGTCGCATGCTGTCATACTTGTTCTGGCATCGCGCTTGACAAGTGTTCCAACAGTTGCTTTGACACATGTACAAGCATGTGCTCTGAGAGTATGTGAGAGTTGTTTTGACATTTGTGCTGGCAATAAGTATTGTATATCTTACAGTATCTTACAGCATGTTTTGTGCTTTGCTTTGGTATATATTTGTTCTGGCAAAAGGCCAGGGCACACCACAACGCAGCTGTACGTGGCAGGAGTCCAGCGTGCAGCCACCAACAGCCCAGTGTGCACCAATCCACATCTCGAGCACCCGAAATTCAGCGCGCACAGATGAGGAGGGGAGCAGGAGGAGGAGGAGGCGGAGGAGGAGGAGGAGGAGAGGACGATACGGCGGAGGAGGCGGGTGGAAAACATTGACATAACATCTGGAGACCCTCACCTGAGTCCTGAGTGGCGGGCGGGCCACGCTGTTGTTTTTTTGGAGGGAAAGTAATGTTTCCAAGCCAAGGACCTCCCAACTCCCAACCCATGTTCATCGACTTCTGACTCGGGGGCTGCAGAGACGAGATCATCGTTTATTACTTGTGCTGGACGACCAAGGAACAGTAGCAATGATACATGGTTTTCTTTGTGAAGGTCAGTTCCAGTTGCAGCTGTAAGTAAGAACCCGACAGCTACTATAACGCCCAAAATCGTACTTAGTGGCTTAGTGGTGTTTACTTTTATTTGGAGAGATATCGTCGAATGAACTCATTCCGGGCAAGTTGTTGGAACAAACTTCAAACAGTAAGCGACCCAGTATACAGTTGACGCATCCCCAAATAGTATGCGTTATATATTATGCGTTCATTTCAAGAAGGATTTTTTTTCATAGTCCATGTCAATTTCTGCATGTTTCTAGCGGCACGAATGGTATCACCTGAAGGGTGACAGGAGTTCTTCTCCCGCAAAACATTACTTCCCTCTAGCGCAAGGGGTCTTCTTGATTCTTGCCCTGATGGAACGTCAGAATTGAGTTCCTTCACTTCGTTCGGTCTTGCAGTGACCAAGGTCTGGAAATTCTACCAGTACAACAATCATCCGATTGTCTACGGCTGGAACAATCTCTGGGCGAACAACATCTACCAGGGGAAAACGTATCAGGGTAAGAGCATGAACCCCGCAGCGTTGGGAATGAGCACGGCCGATGCTCGGCGAGACGTGGTTCCACGGTCGGGACGTCCCAAGGAGGTGGGACGAGGACGGGGGACGTCCCACGGGGCGAAGAACGACGCCGTTCAGCAACGCTGCCACGGTGAGGGAACTTCTTGCCCCCGCCTTGGTTTGTGTGGAATGTGTGTGGAAAGTGTTATGTTTGGCTGGTGGCGCATTTGCATGATCTGGTGGGTTGTAAAAAGCGTTCCGAACACCATTCAAATTAGCCCAGCTGGAGACCCCAATAGCAAGATACAAACCGGGACAAAAAGAAAAATCTGGAAACAGCTGCTGTTTTCAACACATCGACCATCTCTTCCTTGGACACCATCATCACATGACCGGGACACCATCACAAAATGACCAGGGCACCATCAAAACATGACCGAGACACCGTCACAACATGACTGGGACAATCAAAACATGATCGGGACACCATCACAACATGACCGCGCCACCATCACATGATCGGGAC